ATACCACTGTTGGTCGTTTTGATGTAACTTAGGATTTAATTTTTGGTCTATTTCCTCTTTTGTCTGCTTGTCCCGCTCCACAATCCCCATTCAGTCCTTTTTTCTAGTTGAAACAGTTCAGGGCCGGCTGTGGCCGTTTGGTTTTAATTGGAAACTGTCTCTTTAAATTTCGAGGAGAGCTGCGTGCATGCGTAGTAGAACCCTCCGAGGGTGGGGCTGGGGTGCCCACTAGCTCAGGCACACCTATAGTCACCCGAATGGAGGTGCTCAGACAGCAAGGGATCAATGAACAGCTACCAAAAGAAAAGAATGTGCACACTTTATCTCAGCAGTTCTGCCAGGTGTCTGTGGCCGCTCCGATCCTTTCCCCACGTGTTCTCACCCAAGATGGCGGCTCTTGGAGCAGCCGAGCGTCCTGGACTAGAAAGCAATGGATTTCTTGCTTCTGCCACAAATTCCCCCAGCTGTGAGCCTTCCAACCTTCTAAGTATTCCTTTATATGTGGTTGAGAGTTCTGGGACCATACCCTGAACTTGCTTGGTCGGGTATTCTGTGTTGTTGTTGGCGGAGTGCTCTGCTATACATTCCCCCGATCCGCCATCTTATTTCTTCCCCCCAGACCTTCTTTTTTAAGTAAGCTAACCTTGTGCGTGGTTTAAAGAAGGTGCCCAGTGTTACGTTTGGTGTAAGGTTTAAAGATGATCTCAGGGTAACAGTTTTGGAAGTTCATCCTAGCTGTGTGATATCTTAGACCATCGTACTAAGACGTATGGCAGCCACAATGTGTGTGATGGCTTCATGCACACTACTTCTCAATACCTGTGACACACTCCTTGGGAGAATGGCTCACATCCTCTGGTAACATCTCCTCCAGTCCTGGCCTTTGAGTTCCGTGTGTTGTCTAGCAGGTCTTGGCAAACCAAAAAGTCCAACTCATAAATATTTTGGACTTTGCCATTCATACCATTGATGACTTTAATACCCTCAAACGCCTTTGTGTGTGTGTATGTTTGCAGCAATTGATCCTGAGCGTATTGGAAACAGAAACTGGTAAGTGTTTATGATATGTTACTAATAAATTCCTTTAAACACTCTGCTGTTGTAGATACCAGATCAGTGCATGGGCACAAGTGTGTGCCAACCCAGCTTGATTAATGGAGGCTGGTATTTGATTTTCACTTAATTTTCCACATACCATATAATTCATTACTGTTCTTGGGCGTTTTCTTATTTAAAAATGTATACACCCTCTTCAGTGCATTGACCATTCCACATCTGGACCCTGGGCTACACTTTGCTGATCCCTGACATATAGATTTTCAGCAGTCTCATTTCAAAACAAATCCTCCAAAACATATGAAAATTGGTCTACTTCCTTTTTCAAATTGTGTTGATGGAGTTTTTTTTTTTTTTTTTTTTTTTAAGTAGGGAATGTGAGTGTTATTTCTAAGGACAAAATGACCATGACTTGAATTCTTGAATAGGTTAAACAGAAATATTTGGACGTGGGAAAGAGAATGAAGGAGTACGAAGATCGGAAGTATGAGCAGTGGAGAGACTTAACAGAACAGATCCTCCCGACCCTCATGAAGAAGAGTCTGCTTGCTAAGGTACCTCCCTGGATCCTTTGTCATCTGCCACTGAATCAGCCTCCAACTCCCAGTGACAACAGAATGAAACGCTGCCCGGGCCTTCGCCATCCCCATGGACGGTTGTAGACCAGACTCTCAATCCTTAGGGTTTTCATGGCTGGCTTTTCAAAGTAGATCTCCAGGCCTCTCTTCCTCCTCTGTCTTAGTTAGAAGCGCCACTGAAACCTAGTTAGCATCCTGCGGCACCCAAGGCTCCACTGGCAGATGCATGGTGGCTGTGTATGACCAGGAAGGGAACCTGGGTGTCCTGCAGGGAAGATGCCATTCTGTCCCTGCTCCCGAGTTCCAGGTTAGGGTGGCCATGTAAGATGATGGCATTGATGATTTTCCTCGAGGTTTGTTTTTGTTGACCGTATTCATGAAGTTGATGGGTATTTCCAAAATACCGAGATAAGAAAGGCAGAGGCAGCAAAGAAAGCAAGTGGAGATAGTATGATGTCGTGACAGGAAGACAGGTACAACCTTGCAGACTTCTCAGCCCTTGGCGAGCGGCTTAATTCTGAGTTTCATTTTATCCATTTACATACAAGAATTGGGTCAAATGGGATGAATATGTCAGGTGTTAGTTGAACCTGATGGCAGAGCTGACATGTGATCATTTTGGACCTGCGAAAAAGTGCCATTTCACACGATTTTTCTTACACTTTGCACAGGGCCTAGTACATAGTAAGTGTTCAAGAACTAAGTGTTAGTTGTTAATATCTATATTGTAAATATCCACATTATGATTGTAAGGAGGAGAGGCCTGGGCCTGACTGCGGGTCGGGGGGCAGGGTGTGTGTGGAGCGGGGTGGGAGGTTCTCTGAAGTCGGTACTAAAGTAAGTGAAGAGGGACCAGGTGAAGTCTACAGGGAACTGCATTGCTGAAATCCCACCAGAAGGGACAATGGCTACTCAACTCCAGCCCATCTGTGATGCATTTGATCAGATTTCACAACCTTTTAAATTCTGTACTTCTATAAAGCAAAATCACCCAGTTTTGCAATGTTGGAGACTAACATCCTTTACAAACATGATTTGCCCAACTAAACATGGACCCCAGGTGGTGCCAGCTTCTGTAATCTGTTAGGGCATCCTGGACCCTGTGAATCATCTTCATACCTACTTTTAACTTGGTCCCAAAGATAGACCTGTTGCACTACTTCTGAGAAATCAACCCCTAAAAGCCCCGAAAAGCTCAGTTACATTGTGGCACACAAGGGGCCCCATGAGGTGGCAGTCGGCTGATGGCACCTGGTTTGGTTTTGGTGTATTGATGTGCTTACTTCTTTGATTGCCTTTGTGCCCTTACCCTCATCAAATGTCTCTTCCACAGTCTCTCACCGTCACTGATGAGCCAACCCCATCTGAGCGAGGGGCGGCATTTGTCATAAACTTTTCACCGACTCTTCGAGAAATTATTAACGAGACAAAATACCTGGAACAGTTGGGATTCACGGTCCCTGAATTAGCGAGAAATGTTGCTCTCCAGGAGGACAAACTCCTCAGGTGACAATATTCTCATAAGCCAGCAGTAACCTTCTGGTCCTGGGATCCCTGTCAACTAGCAAAATACATTTTCATTACTTTAGAAATACGTATTAAAACGTATGGTAATCTATTTAAAATGTATTTATGTAATCATTAACTTAAAAATAACTATAAAGTTATTACATGTTAATTTAAGTAGCATTTTCCCCCCATGAAAAGAAGGTATATTTTCCCAAAAGGAGAAAGTGAGGGATAAGAGTGATAAGCATTGTTTTAAGTTTCTGCAAATGTCTCCATCAAATTTTAGTGTTCCTCAGTAGTTCCTCTGTCTGTAATGTTACTGAGCTCTGAGCTGATTTGTCCTCTGCCCCCGTGTCAACACTCTGATGCGCAGGTACACTGATGGCATACAGCGCATGCTGGATCATTACCACATGCTTTTAGGAACGTTAAATGAGGCTGAAGCACTTCTTCTGGATGACCATTCCCAGGAATTAGTCCGAGTGTTCAGACTGGGATATAAGCGGTTAAACTGGAACTCGCTAGGTAAGACGGCTCCTCTGTGTACTGCCTTTCAGACTGTGTGATGCAGAGAATCATTCTTTTAATCTCTGTGTGCATATAGCTATGTGCGGAGTCCTGGGGTGGCACTCTAGGATAAGCTCTGAACTGCAAGGTTAGTGGTCCAGACTCATCACTCACTCTTTGGAAACCCTATATAGGGTTGCTATGAATCAGAACTGACTTGACAACAACATAGATATACAAATAATTTTTTGAGGGTCAATGAAGTGTGCTTTGTGAAACTTAGACTTGACACATGACTTTAATTGGGGCTGTCTGAGTTTAGGAATCCTGGTGACGCTATAGGTTAGGCATTGGGCCATTAATCACAAGGTTGGCAGTTCAAACCCCACAGTTGTTCCTTAAGAGAACGACAAGGCTGTCTGCTCCTGTAAAGATTTACAGTCTTGTAACCCATATGTTACGAATCGGGCTGCTAACCTCAAGGTCAGAAGTTCAAAACTACCAGCTGTTCTGCACGAGAAAGATGAGGCTTTCTGCTCCCGTAAAGATTTACAGCCTCGGAAACCCTGTACAGGGTCACTATGAGTTGGAACTGACTCCATAGCATGTAAGACCACCACCACCACCATATGTAGAGTCATTGTCAGTTGACATCAATTCAATGACAGTAGGTTTGGGGTTGCTGTAATAGAAGTACTACAAATGGGTGGCTTTAACAAACAGAAGAGAATTTTCTCACAGTTTAGGGAGCTAAGAAGCCTGCAGGACACCAGCTCTAGGGGCTGGCTTGCTTTCTCTGTTGGCACTGGGGACAGGCCCTTGCCAAGCTTCCTGTGGTGTGGCATCTGTCCTTTCCATTTGTGCTTGCATCTGTGCCCAATCTGCCCTTTTATCCCTCGGAAGTGATTGACTGAAGACGCACTCTGCACTGAGCACAACAGGAAAAGCCTCATGCTCAGATGGGCTCCCTTCCTTGCTGTTGTTGTTACATGTTGTAGAGTCAGTTCTGACTTCAACGTGACCGTTGCCTAGGGTTCTGAGGCATGGCTGGTGAACCATCCACCTTGTGGTTAGCAATCCAGTCTTTATCGTATAGTGTCACACCATTGTCCAATCCACAGACATGCTGTTGTTGTGGTGTATTATCTAGTCGTTTCGGACTCATGTTGACCCTGTCTTGGGTTTCTGAGAACAGCTGGTGAGTTTGAACTGCCAACTTTTCAATTACCAGTCCTGTTGCACCACACCGGACAGTTTCGACATAAAACCAAACGGCCACCACTCGTCTGTCTGTCGTGCTGTGGTGGCTTGAGTTGCTGTGATTCTGAGGTATTTTAAATAACCAACAGGGTCACCCATGGTGGACAGGTTTCAGATGAGTGTCCAGACAAAGACAGACTAGGAACAAAGAGTGATGAACTACTTCCAAATCGCTAGTCACTGAAAACCTTATGAATAGCAGAGAAACACCATCAGATATAGGGCTGGAAAATAAGCCCTTCAGGTTGGAAGGCACTCAAAATGCGACTGGGGAAGAGATGCCTCCTCAAAGTAGAGTTGACCATGATGACGTGAGTAGAGTTAAGCTTGTGGGAGAAAAACCCACAGAACCTTCATTTGCTGATGGGCCACAACTCAAAATGAAGAGAAACAGCTGTGAACATCCGTTGAAAATCGGAACATGGAATTTATGAAGTATGAATTTGGGAAAATTGGAAGTTGTCAAAAATGAAATGAAACGCATCAACATCGGTATCTTAAGCATTAGTGAGCTGAAATGGACTGGTATTGGCCATTTTGAATCTGACAACCACATGATTTACTACGCAGGGAATGACAAATTGAAGAGGCATGCTGTTGCATTCATCGTTAAAAAGAACATATCCAGATCAGTCATGAGGTATAATGCTGTAAGTGCTAGGATAATATCCATGCGCCTACAGGGAAGCCCAGTTAATACCACTATTATTCAAATTTATGCACCAACCACTAAAGCCAGTG